TCGAACACTAGAGGCCGCGTCAGGGTCTATAGTGCCCTATCGGATGGCTTTTCGACTACAAGTGGCGTTCGACAGGGTTGCCCGATTTCCCCATTTTTGTTCAATTTCGTCGTGGATTCTATCATGGAGTGTTCCCTTGCGGAATCTCACGATGTAGGTGTTGAAGTGCTGCCAGGTGAACGGTTAGTTGATCTAGATTATGCGGACGATATCGTCTTGCTTTTCGACAATGTTGAGGCGGCACAATCAACCCTGAATAGCCCATCCAGAGTGGTCCCATTATTTGGTATGCACTTCGCACCTTCAAAGTGCAAAGTGTTGCTGCAGGACCACCAGCCACTCGATGACCCCTTGACGCTTGCTAACGAGGAACTCGAGGTGGTTGATCAATTCACTTATCTTGGCAGCTGCATCAGCAATGATGGGCGCATAGAAACTGACGTCAGCTCACGCATTGCAAAAGCCAGAGCTACGTGCTTGAACCTGCGGCATCTTTGGCGACAGAAGGGAGTTTCCCTCCGTCTGAAAGACCGTGTATCCAAGGCCACAGTGAGGGCCGTTCTGCTCTCTGGTAGAGAAACTTGGCCCCTTCGGTCTGAAGATCTGAGGCGTCTTCAAGTCTTTGATCATCGTTGTTTGCGAAGCATTGCTGGTGTCGGATGGCACCAGCGTGTCCGCAACGATGATGTACGTAGGCGAGTACTAGGGGGTGATGATCATGCTAGCTCCCTAGAACAACAGATAGCACTGAATAAGTTACGTTGGCTCGGGCACGTGCTACGCATGCCAGGTCACCGCTTACCTAGGAGGGCCTTGTTAAGTCTACCAGGTGTCGGATGGCGCAAGGCTCGAGGTGGACAGAAGTTGACTTGGCAGCGGGAAATGAAGTCACTGACGACCAAACTGGGTGCCGTTGGTCCGTCTCGCCTTCCGGGTTGGAGTCCACGTGACTCACCTTGTGCTTGGCTCGAGACTTTACAGGACATGGCTCGCAACCGACACCAGTGGCGCGTCTGCTGCCGTCTCCTAATCGGATTGTCTGTTTAAAGTGTGTTTGGTGCTGAGTTATCTGCGGGGTAATGGCTGATTATGACGCGTGGCAGTGAAAGCCGCAAGGAAGCTGTCTCGCCGATGCCGCCTTATCTTTGCACGATAGCCAGCTGTTTGTGACGGTATGTTGTCTACACAAGGTGTAGGCGCCTTGACCCTGAATGTTTGCTTAGGGCATTAAGGTTTTCAGGTAAGTCCCCCTTCTCTCCCTCTTATTCTTTATTTCATAGGTCCTCATGGTTGTATGGCAGCGAAGCATCAGTTCAAATGGCTGATGTACTGCTGTTGATGATGATGATGATGCTAAATCGAGTCAACCAATCAGCATCTATGATCGGCCACGAAATTAACATCAACAAGTCGAAGTACTTCTCATCGCCAACCGCCTAGTCAGCCCGTCGCTCTCCCTAAATGGACAACTAATCGAGTCAGTTCCTGAGTTCAAATAACTTGGATCCATTATTCTCGCTAATGGTCAGGCTACATCCGAAATCCGGAATCGTATTGACAGCGCTAGAACAGCCTTCTTACAACTGAGAAACACGTTGTGGCGAAAGACGGAAATTAGTCTGGGAACAAAAATCCGAGTATTCTCAGCAACCATTCCTGCCATTTTACTCTATGGTTGCGAAACATGGCCGTTGCGATCCGAAGACATCCGGAAGCTGGAAGTCTTCGATCATTGGTGTCTAAGGCAGTAGCATGAGTGTAGCACCAATGACGAAATCCGTAAGCGCTGTTACGGTCTTCCGAAGCTCTCAGAGCTCATCCAACGCCACAAACTTCAGTGGTTCGGTCACGTCCTTCGCAGACTAGACAGTGACTTCACTAGAACCGTGATTCTCCTATCGCCTTGCTAGGGTTGGTGTCGTCGCCGTCGTGGACAACTGAAAACGTGGTTCACTGCAGTGAAATCGGATGTCGAGCTTCTGGGACTCTATGCTGTACATGGGCCTCATCAATGAAGGAATCATTGGACCAGTATCTGCGTGGAGCTTACCGTCGACCGCCGCGGATGGACAGCTGAAATCCGCGACATTCATGAACCGGTTCATCCTGTCTCAGGAGTTAGTCACAGTAAAGTGTAAATAGTGTGATTAAATGTAGTATCCTGGTTTCCCCTCGCTTAAATATACATGTTTCGCCGTTATCAGGTGAGAGTGATACATGTAAAGACTATGAGCGCCGCACGGATGGTGAGCCAACGAAGGCGTCGTTTCGGGGCATGAAACCAAGTGAATGGAGAAAAACAATCTGGAATTAAAGAACTAGAGGTGATTCGTACAGTGTGAATGAGCTGCAACATATGACAACGACAATGGCTTCCATAAAGTATAGCTTTTCAGTGTTTAAGACTGGAGTCAATGGGTTCACCGCAAATCCAAATAGACGAGGAAGTGCGGTAGGACAAATTGAGCTTGGGAGCATGATGCCAACATACTGATGAACAATCCATTGACTGCAAAAAGCGCATCAGCAGTACGCCTGCATGCAGCACCGACCCTTCGCCGCCGCACAACTAATACCAGTCACACGTAGGCTAAGGATACTGCGAGGGTCGCCTGGTCTCCTAGGTAGACTTGAACGCGCGTCCACGGAGTACAAGGCAGACTTGTGATCCCTAAAGCTACGGATCGGCAGATGGCTACAGATGACATGTTTTATTTTCCGTGGTCTATTTGTGTATATATGGGGAAACATACATACGGGACGTACGCAGCAATGTGGCTGGACTGTTTCTGCCTTCATACTGAATGGGATCATTGTTTGAGTCTTGCGCTGTTACGAAGACTGTGTTGGCAGTCAAACCAGTCCGAGTAACGGTTACGATTTGTTACTCATGGAGCGTGGCATTAGTTATACTGTAAAAATGTGAATCACGATTCAATTGCAGCAGCTTCACACTGGAAATTTCTCCCTGTCGCATCTTCTACCGTCTGTCTGTGTTCACCGGTCCGCATTCGCCGTTCAACCTACCGCTTCTCTATCTTGGACAACAATGTAGTTGTTTTATGCTTGACCTTGCAAATCCTGTTATCTGTTCGCCCCTTGCTATTCTGATCAACTCACGCAAGTGGTGTTTGATTTGTCTCTTGTTCACTGGTTACGCTTCGCCTCCGCTTTTACAGTGGGCCAGCTGTCATTGCATCTCATGTTGTCAGAGTGGATTCCTCGGTGTGCGCGCGCCTTTCGCTTCCCGCTACTCGGGCCAACCGGCTTCCTAATATTCTGTAACCAAACTGTGCTTCGTTCACCTCAGACTGAAGCAATTCTATCTTGTCTCTCCGACTCGAGTGATCAGGGTCAGTTCCCGTCCGTCAGCGGCTTGATGTATGCCTACGCCGTGTAACTCGCGTTCGTCCAAAAGACAAGTCGAAGTCACACGGTGCATCTCTATAAACGGTAAACGATCTCTTGATGCCTGCAGTTCAAGTGGCGTCATCCGACCATAGGGAACTAGTCAACTTGGCGCCATTTTCAGTCATATCTGGGATGTCGGTTGATGAACTTTATCAAAACTGAGATAGCAAGAGCTCGCTACCGCAGATACAGCGAATTTCAGCTATGAAGCGCCATATGCGCCACATCTGTCGTATTATCCGCCTGTGTTAGTAAATAAAACCGGAAGCAGCGTATTTGCATTGCGCTAACAATCACTTACCGGTTCTGTGATTTGATTTTCTCATGTCCATGTCAATGACTTACTAGGAAGTCTCGTTTGAAGCATACACGAAGAGATATGCTTCAACACCTATTGCACGAGGTCAACAAGATGGACTCCCATGGTAGCTGCCATTCGCATTTCTGGAATTCTTCTTTTTGATGTAATATTCCTTTGGGGAAATCTACATCTGTGCATCAAGATTGAATGCGGCTTCAAATGTGTAAGTAATACAGTCGGGCACCAGGGGGGTAGCATAGAGGTTTAATGGGAGCAGTTCATGGAATTTGCTACGACAAACGAAGCTACACAAAATGGCTGACACCCTGATTTCACTTAGACTTTGATCAAGCAATCTTCTTCTAGAGCAGAAGTTCCATTGGTTAACCGTGTGGTAAACATCGAAACCATAATCTTGATACGAGACCCAAGCAGTACTGGGTGTGTCATCATCATCATCATTACACGTTAGCTGGAGGTGGAAAGCACCTCAGCTATTGTGCCGCAATACAAAAGACAAGAAAAGGAAAACAATCATTGGCACGCCCGCTGAGTCCCCAGTAACGGATGGACATCGTTCCGGAGAGCTAACAGCTGGCTTCCGTAAAAGAGAGTCATATTATACCTATCAAGTGAGATCATGATTGGAGGGGGATGCTAAGCAGGAGGGGGATGGACAAAGGAACTCACAACACAAACGCCATTGGGGTCGGCTCCAAGCCATATCAGCAAGTGTGTCCAACCAAACGTGTTCACCGTCCTTAGGACCCTAGCCAGGCAATCGGAATGGGTGTGTCAAACAGTGCCTAACCGTGAGCTAACATTTGGTAGCCGTTTATGGTGCACACATCGCTGGGGCATATGGTTTCGGTAATCACTTATCTGAAATAGACAGTTATAAACCCTGCACACACAAACTGTGTAATTTGTGATGTTACTATCGCAGTGCCCTGCGAGCTGAAGGCGGAAGAGGATAGATGCGTCACGACTGTATTGATCTTGAAAAGTAACTAGCGTCAGAAAATATTTAGGGAGGCGTCTCGGGGTAAAACGAATGTTCCCGGAAATTGCCGCGTGGAAAACACTGGAGATAACACTGGTGTATCGTTCCAGTACCGATTATGCTACGCTCCCCATTGGCTTCAGTGAAAGAAAATCGTGAAATTAGATAGATGTCACTTTGTAATGGGTAAGCCAAGGGCTGTCGTTGCAATGAAGTGGCAGCGGCGACCTTGCGGTTTGCTTGACGTGGGCTGCGACGAGAATGAGCATAATCGACTGAACTCACCATAGGAAAGTACCTCGGGCGTTGATGTTGTTCATCAGATCATAGCTCTTCATTGTAGTGGCCTCCGTATTGGTAAGACTTATGGCGGACGCGTTATTGATCAAAATGTCCAAACCATCGAATGTTTTAACTGCCTGATCAACTGCTTGTTGCACTTCTTCCTCGAAACGGATGTCTACGGCACACGGTAGAGCTTTTCCACCAAGTTTCTCGACTGCAATGGAACGAAGTGAGCAAATGCAAGAGACATACTCTCCTCAGCGACTGAGTATATGGTACCCGGGAGTTTAGGATGGGGATCTTTTGTCTTGGCTGCGATGACGATCTTTGCGCCATCTCGAGCAGCTCTCAGAGCGATACTCCTTCCAATTCCTCTGCTTCCACCGGTAATAAAAAGGACTTTACCACTGAGATTACTCCTTAAGGATCAAAATGAAGTACTGATAACTTACATAGTTAAGAAAAGGAGACTGTTTAAATAAGGAGAGAGAAAGATCCGGATCACTTCGTGTTAGTATCCTCAAGCTGCAATGAACACATGGTAAAATAATAAAAAGGTGAAACGCGCTGGAATTATCACACAGAAAAGATGTGCGGGAAACATGGGGTTTATTCGTTAGTTAATGCATTTACCCAAAAATTTCATCAAACCCGTCAGCCTAGGTGGCAGAAAACCGCAGTTCTGTTGTAAAATTTAAATACACATGCCTGTTTGACTAGTGTCTAGTCGATAAACCATAGCTCGTGCGCATAAATGCAGTGGATCCACTTGCACATACTAACGCCTCCAATAATAGCATAATAACAACAATAATAACTAAAATTCAGGAAATAAAGGAAATTTCAATATTGCCGAGTGGAGTAGCCGGGAGTGGATTCCTACAGGTAAATAGAATGGAGGACGTATCGTTCCCGTTCAACAGCTACTCACTGGGAAGTCTACTGACTTCACCGCAACCAATGTGTTCAGCTTATACGCGAAGAGACAGTAACAACATCAACTTGCGCGCAAATTCTCATCCAACCCCAAAGATTTGTATAGTCATGTCAACCGCCTTCAACAAGACAAAGACGGTGCGGCTGCGCTGACGACCCTCACAGGGCTGACAAAATCAGCGAACGAGATCGCAGAAGTCCTGTGCCAACAGTACGCATCTGTATCTACAAGGACGGTACCTTCTCTGATCTTACCCTCAACGTCCATAACAACTGTTCAATTTACTCTGGAGGTAGTGGCAAAACTTAAATCTTTAGGGTTAATGACCTCCCAAGGCGCAGACGGTTTCAATCCAAGGCTCATGCGAATGTGCATTGCAGCCATAGATATACCTCTAGTGGAGCTGTTTGCGTATTTCTTCTCGCATGGTGAAGGCCCCAAGGATTGGAAATGCGGTCAATCCACAAAAGCGGGGCGCGTAAAGACTGTCAATTACCGACCGACCGATAACCCTCCTCTCTACAACCAAACTGATGGAATCGATCATCGCAGACGTTTTAATGGACCATATTGGGGCTCAGAAACTGCTTTCCGATAACCAGCACGGCTTGAAGCGACAACGGTCATGCCTGAGTAACCTGCTATTCGCCTGGGGTAGCTGGAAAACCGCTGATACCGGACTAGAAATGCCAAAGCTTTTGACAAAGTGGACAACAATCTAATACACAAGCTGCGGTCTTGCGGTATATCTGGAGCCTTGAAAGAATAGATCTGGAACTACCTCCATCACCGCACCTTCCAACTACGTGTCGACGGAGCGCTGTCCCTTCGTATCCTTGCGACAAGCGCAGTTCTACAAGAATCTGTTCTCGGACCGGACTACTTCCTATTCTTTATCGAGGATGTCACAACACAAGTCATCGTTGCTGCTATATGCCGACGACGCGCAGCTGTGGCGCGCAATTAATGCTCCAGACGACACCCGCACACTTTAAATGAACCTAAACCGTCTGCACCAGTGGTTCCTGGAAAACAACCTTCCACTTAACGCATGGAAATGTCGCGTCCTCTACACTCGCCCTTCCGCTTCTCCAATATACTTCCTGGGAGAATCTTTTCGCAAGCTCTCGTCAGCCGAGAGAGATTTGGGTATCAACATCTAAACCAGTTTCTCTGTAACTGCTTACTACCAACAAGTAGCCTCTGCTGCTAACCGCATGGGATTGTTAAAATGTGCCTTCGGTTAAATTGACTTGCCTCTTCCCAAACGCCTTTCTCCGTTCTCACCTGGAGTTTGCTATCCAGGCTTGGAGCCCCTGGTTGTTAAAATACGAGGGTAAGCCTGAAGCCAAACAACGTCGGGTGACAAGACTACTACGAGGTCTCGGACACTTAGATTATCCGCAAAAAGTTCATCGCCTTGGTCACTTCTCTCTGAAATACCGACATCTAGGTGACTTAATCTTTGAGTTAACAATCCTATCTAACCTTGAACGCATCTGCCGTGAATTACTCAAACTGCACGACTCATGCTTCTATTTTCGTGGTCACCCACTCCAGTTCACACATCAACACAGCCGGATGAACTACAGGCGACACTTCTCCGCTCTGCGAATCTGTGGACAGTGGAACTTTCTGCCTGCCGTAGCCTCTACCGCATTTGACTTCAAGACTCACCTGAACCGTCAACTCGTCAAACTGCATCACGATCTCGTCAGAGACAACTACCTATGTTGCGGGCCCGTCAAAAATCCCCGCAAAAAAACGCGCCAGTAACTCCGGCATAATGGCTGTGGGAAGCGGAGTCCAATTTCTCCCCACAACGCAGCAGTGTTCAGCCACTCCGAGGAGCGTCCCAACTGCGAACCTTTTGACAATGGTCATTTGCAAACTACCACCTCTGCGTGGTGACTTTTTTCCCTAACTTAATAACCCATAGCACTGGCTGTGATCGCCTTTTGTCGATCGTAAAAGAGCCTACAGAGGACCACTTGTCTTTTCTTTCTCTTCGCCTCAGTTGGGAGTCGGTCGGGTAGCGTGATTGCGCGGTGTATCGTTAGCTGGCCAGCCTTCGCGTCTAAGTTATTAGCGCGGGTCTATCGTACCCCCTCTCGTATGCGTCCGTTTTCGAGGCCTCAGCGTCTATACGAACAAGTGCGGCTAAGATCGTTCCCACGCTCGTTCAATTTTCCATCTTACCGGCTAAGCTAGCGTCATCGTAGGCGTGCTCCAACCGTGCGAGCGACAATCTTGTCACGCAATTACCTCAAGAGGCGGCGTTCCCTCAATCATAACAACCTACTATGCTGTATCTCATACCCCTGTTAACTCCCGGTCGTTTCCAACCTGACGCTTCTATCCCCAACAATCCCGATTTACATGTAGATAGAGTAGCCGATTGCTACTCTACCTAATTTATTCCCTAGCTGTCAGAGGGCGTGGTGGAATGTCACGCTTTGAGCCGGCGTGAATTCTGCTTATATGCCACATAGGTCCGATAAAGATACGGCCAACACGAGAGTCCAACCCGCTATAAGGCTGCCTGGCATTTTCGTAAGACTTAACCATAACTATTTACAGCCTATGAGCCATGTAAAGTTCCAACTATTATTCCCAATGAATATAATGTATTTGTTGTACTAGAGATTTTTGTGACTTGAATTTGGCGTATTAATGGACGACTAATCTAACAAGAACACCAGTATTGGGTTTGAAAACTGCTCAAAAGTTGGTGAAGTTTCCGATTAAAGGTGACATTGACTGAGTCAGAGCTGTACGCAGCTGGAGTGCATGTGGAGGTCACAAAAAAGCTGCGTCTCCATTGCGACGTCTGTCGATTTTGCACTAGCCCCCAAGTCGAACTGCGTACAGTAGGCTATGAATCGGAAACCAATCTAGCAGTGCGGTCCCGACTTTAGTGCTACCCCAACACCCACCAAACCTGCTGCGGTTGCTTCCGTTTCACCAGATAGACACAGGTAAAATATGGCTCCTAAGGCAGTGGGGGAGGTTGACATTATCACATGCTGAGACTCCGTAAACTCGTACTGACCCCATATTGAAGAAAAATGTGATGCATGGTTTCGTGTCTGATTCCACCGGCTTGGATACAAGGTAGTAGATCCTTTGTGGCATCTAATGGGGAGCCGGGTGACGGCAACAGAAGCCTGCATGCTCTAAGACGCTGTCAATGATTATCCGTGACGTTATGTTTATGTCGCATGCGAAAATGGCAAAGCTTATTCACAAATGCCTCCATATGGAATGCGATTCCTGATGTGATAGTATACAGCTCCGCTGCACCGAACAAACTCATGGGAACAAGACCGAAAACCCTCCTACATACTGTTCCCCGGGTAGACAGGTTTTGCGGCAGCAAGCGACATTTAAGCAAATCTGAGAAGAATGGGATTACGTTATCTCGGTTATTTAGATAGATAAAATCCGCTCTAGATTCGATGAAGCTGAGCTAGTTGACTTCGATTCATGCTGAAATATAACTGCCAGCAAGAGTAGCTTGCTGGCACTGCTCGCATCATGATAGTGGAAAAAAGTACGGCACAAGTGGACTATAACCGACGGTTAATCAACATCGCGCTCATAAGTTCAGCAGTTGACGCGTCGAAGCAAGAGAGTAAAGAGAGTAGCGGCAACACGTCAGTAGTCTAAATTGATGAAGAGCTGCCGCGTAATTGCAGTCCGCTGCACGCACATAGGGAATGTGGGATTGTTTAAACCCATGCAGGACTCGTACCAAGGATGTAGTTGTAAGCTAAATGTCTGAACTACCACAGAGGCATCAGCAGTATGCCGGTACGCAGTACCGACGCTCCGGTGCCACGCAACCACCAGCAGCCGCACGTGAGCTAAGGATACCGCGAGGGTCGTCCGGTCCCCTACGCAGGCTCGAACCCCTAACTTCCGGATTACAAGTAAAGCGTGTGATCCTTTCGGTCAGAAGTCTGAGAAATCAGCTTCAGATAGCGGTGCGTGACATTTTTCGCTAGACATAAATAAATAACTAAACATTTACTCTCGACAATGCGAGGCACACCTTTATAGGCATGATCACGTTAGGCTAACATAGTGTGATCAAAAAGGTACAAAAACACATGTTTGGCAAAACAGTGAATGTATGTGAATGGGTGTACATACGTATGTAATTGTGTATGAATGCAGCTATAGTTTGTGTTTGTACCGCAACATTTTGACTGTTTGTAATCGTCAGGAATGTGAGAATAAGCGATTGAAGTCCGTGGTTTGGATAGCATTTACCGGATATCCACGGGACAGTGACTTTAGTTTGTGGCGATTCCGCCACATCCGCCACGTCGCAGTGCTGATATGTAGATATTTGTGGCTTTTTATAGAGAGAACGTTTGTCAGACGAAAAGCCAACACGTCCTGGAACATTGCCGAAGAACTATTTGCTGGAACGGGTTAAACCCGAACCACCTAGCTGGCTCCACTAGGAGGTTGTTCGGCTAGTCAGCTACTGTTGGAAGAGATTTAAAGCCATCCGAGGATCCTCAGGTATTAATATTGGTAAAGATGCGAAAGATAACTAAGTGGCTCCAGTTGTGACAGATCGAA